TTTTCTTTTTTGCTTATGTGGTGCTGAGGAATCGAACCCAGGGCCTCAGGCATGCAAGGCAAGCGCTCTACCACTGAGCCACCTTCCCAGCCCCAAAGATTACATTTTTACATTCTCTACATCCTTCATAACTTCACCTCTTACCTTTCATCTTATACCACCATTAGTTGTATCATAAAATGTTCTTAGACTTTTACTTCTGCTTCCCCACCCTTCCCCCCTCCCCCCAGTTCTGAGGCTTGAACTCTGAGCTTGAGTGCTGTCGCTGAGCTCCATTTTGAGCAAAAGATAATTAGCATTCTGCTACTTGAGCCTTAGCTCCACTTCCAGCTTTTTCTATGATTTAATTGGAGATAAAGAGTCTCAGCCAGCTCTGGCTGGCTTCAAACCACGATCCTCACATCTCTGCATCCTGAGTAGCTAGGATTACAGGTATGAGCCACAGGCACCTAGCTCACTTCTGTTTTATGGTGGCCATGTCTCTATAGATGTTAATGAGGAAGCCAACTTTATTTCTAAAATTTTATTTGTCTTTTTCTATGCTGCATTATTTTTATAGGTCCACACTTTCAGGAGTCTTGTGAATATCATTGTATTTCCATTGTAGTTTGCCCCTGTATTTCATGTGTTCAAAAAGTTGAACTCATAAAAAAACACAACAAAATTGGGCTCATACACCTGTAATCCTATCTACTCAGGAAGCTGAGATCTGAGGATTGTGGTTCAAAGTCAGCCCAGGCAGGAAAATCCATGGTACTCTTATCTCCAGTTGATCACCAAAAAGCCAAAGTTGAACTTTGGTTCAAGTGAGAAGAAGAGCTCAGAGATAGTACCCAGGCCCTGAGTTCAAGCTCCAAGAAAGGCACACACACAATGAATGAATAAATAATTAAATAAAAATTTAAAGAGCCAGTGAGTGTAGGAGATTATATCCTAGATCAGCTTGGATTAGATTCCAAGGTCAAATGTTTGAGAGTTTTGTACAACTGAGTACAATGTAGACTTTTCCTAGAAGAAGACCCGCAGGAAGATCCTTTCTTTAGAATCCTTTCCCCCAGAAGCTGCCAGTGTGACCTGGTACCCTGACTCTAACAGTTCTGTTCTCCATTAATTAGTGTTCGTGTGTGTATATATTTTCATCCAAGTTTACCACCCAGTAACATTAAGCAGGTTAATCGTTGTTTATTTTCCTCCCTCTCTCCATTCCTCCCTTTCTCTTTTCTGCCCTTCCCTTTTCCTGCCCCTTCCTTCCCTTTCATCCCACTCCCTCCCTTCATTGTTCAGGCTTAAATCACTTCAAGCCCAGGAAGATGCCCGCCACAGAAACTCAGAACCTAGACGTTCAGAACAGTACAGATCAGAACGTAGTTCCATCAAGCGCACCTCAGAACAACGACACATAGACAAGACACCCCGTGTTTCAGAGCAGCGGAACTCAGAGATAGCTGACTATGAGAAACAGGTCCGAAACCTGAAGGATGAGATAGCTGTTCTGTCTTCTGAAAAGACTGGTCTCCAAGGAAGGTCTGGCAAACTCTCATAGATCTTTTACTTTAAGCGCGCTCTCTCTCTGTGTCTCTGTCTCTCTGTCTCTCTCTCTCATCTGAGTTAGTGGTAAAAGCCTGAATGGCTGGGGGTAGGTGGATGGGTGAGTTGGATGGGTGAGTAAAATGACACTGTAATCTCAAACCCCAATAATCTGGGAGGAGCTGTGACTTACAAGCACAGGTTTGCTTAAACTGTATGCTTCCAGACAGAGAAACTTGGAACTAATTTATTTTGGATTGAGAGATATGAGAAGGAAAAGGGTCTTTTGAAAGCCTGGAACTAGGCTGCTGGTAACACTAAAAATGTTCTATAATATCCGGGTAGTTTCTCTTCTCTGAGGCATAGGAGTCCTGTTTCTAGGGATGACTGTACATTTTATTTTCTTGGTTGGCATGTGTAAGTTATGTTCTTGTGAAATCTTTTCCTACTAATGGACAGATCAGGCAGCTCATTAAGACAGTGTTAGTGGAGACAAAGCAGTGTGCTTCTCTGTTTAGCCTTTGTACTTCTCTTATTCTTTCTACCCACCCCAACATGTCCTGATTTAGGCTATCAAAGCACCATTACCCATTGCCCATCCATGTTCTCCTAAATGTAACCTGAGCTTTTGTTTGGTAATTCTCTGGTAATAGTGTCCTGATATTAACTTGTAATGGCTTCTAAGAGCCTATGCCTTTCTACCTGGTGTGTTTGCACTGTGAAAATTAGAAAAAGCCTACAAGGAAGCTCCCCCCGCCCCCACCTCCCCGCTATACCATCATTGTTGTTGTTTTTTCCTCTAAGATTTTCCTTTGGGAGACCTATTTTCTTTTGGCTATTAGTCTGATATATATATCTCTATATATCTAATATCTATATCAGACTGATATATATATATATATATATATGTTTTTTGTTTGTTTGTTTTTTGCCAGTCTTGGGGCTTGAACTCAGGACCTGGGCACTCTCCCTGAGTTTCTCTTGCTCAAGGCTAGCACTCCACCACTTGAACCACAGAGCTACTTCTGGCATTTTCTGTTTATGTGGTACTGAGGAATCGAACCCAGGGCTTCATGCATGCTAGGCAAGCCACATTCCCAACCCTACTAATCTGATACTATAACTTTACTTTGTACTTGGTCACAATGTAGTTTAAACCAGAAGGCTTGTGTGTAGTAAAGTGTGATGAGTTAGTAATCCAAGGTCAAGGTAAGAAATGCCAAGACTTCTCCTCTGGCTCTTGATGGTGGCGCTACTCCCCAGATGGTCCTATTAGTCATCTTTTATAACTTCCAAGCCCTCATCTGAAAAATGGTCAACAGTGATTTTGCCTCCCAAGGCTGCTGAAAGGGCAAATTGAGTTGGTGCATGAATGAAAGGGTTTAGAGACAGTCACTAGTGTTGTTTCTTGTCACCTTTGAGGCCTCTGGAGAGCCTTCTCACAGGCCTAGTAGAGGGAGGAGGGCCTCATTCTATGTAGCTTGTTCTAGCAGGTCTCTAGTGTGTCATCTATGGACTAGGTGGGGACAAGAAACAGAGTTTAGGGACAGCTGATTGACGTTCACTCACAGGTCTGCCAGAAGCCGGTCTCCTAGCCCTGTCCAGCGTAGCCACAGAGACAGCCGCAGTCCCATCCGCAGAGACAGCCGCAAAAGCAGCCGCGACGCCAGCCGCAGAGGCAGCCGCGACGCCAGCCGCAGAGGCAGCCGCGACGCCAGCCGCAACCGCGACGCCAGCTGCAACCGCGACGCCAGCCGCCACCGCAGCAGCAGTCGCCACCGCAGCCGCAGCCACAACCGCAGCCCCAGCCGGAACCGCAGCTGCAGCCCCAACCGCAGCCGCAGCAGGAGCCGCTCTGGCAGCCCCTCGGTTGCAATCGCCAAGGTCAGAAGTCCATCCCCGAATCGTTCCAAAATGTCCAGCGTGGCGCGCAAGGCCGCGCTGCTGTCCCGGTTCAGTGACGCTTACTCCCAGGCCCGCCTGGATGCCCAGTGCCTGCTGCGGCGATGCATCGACAAGGCGGAGACCGTGCAGAGGATCATCTACATCGCTACCGTGGTACGTGACGCCTGCAGCCCGACCCCGGGCGCACCTGGGGCAGTGGAGACAAGACCCAGCTAGAGGGAATGGCACAGGCTTGAAGACACAGGGGGATGCTGAGGCCGCTCAAGGAGGCAGCGCAGTAACCCCTTTTGCCTCTTTCCTCTTAACGTCCGCCCTTCCCTCTATCCTTCCTCCATTTCCCTAAAGATATTTAGAGGCAATTCACTTTTTACAGTAATTAACTTCACACCATATGCCAAGTGGTCATTTGTGGGAGAGTAGGACTATGTCAAATGAGTCTGTTAAAGTTGATTTATGCCCTGTACCTTTGGTCTCATGTGAGCATATGTGTGCACAGTCGATTTATCACTGCAAGTAACTCTCATTGGATGGTCTTCCTGCAGGTTAGTTTAACAGTTATAACCAAAACTATGAGCATGTCAGCTACTTGATTATGGCAAACTAAAAACATACACGTGAAACTATTATTTTGCAGTGAACACATTTGTTTTATGAATGGGTGCCCTATTGAGACATGAAGAGTCTATTTTTTTTTGTCTTTTCTTTTTTGGTGCTGGGATCGAACCCAGGACATTGCACTTGCTAGGCAAGTGCTTTGCCACTGAGCTACATCCCAGCCCATGAAGAGTCTATTTTGAGATAGTTCAATTAAAAAAAAAAGCAGAAGGTTAATATGAGAACAGAATGATCAGAAATCCATATTTACTCATTTATATCAGAGGTCAGAGATTGGCAAACTATGGCTTATGAGCCATGTGGATCCAGCTTGTATTTCTGAGACATAGTGCCTCTCAGTTAAGAATGTTTGTTTGAGAAAAAGTCTCAGTATGTAACCCAGCCTGGCCTAGAACTGATTCTCCCTGCTCAGTCTCCTGGTAAGAATGGTTTTATATTTTAAAGGGATGTGAGAATTAAAAAAAAAAAAAAGCGGCAGTCACTGAAAAGCTCAAACGCTGGCTCTTTGTAGGAAAAAAACTTGCCAACCCTGGTACATATAGTTAAGAATCACTTCTGGGCACCGGTAGCTTATGCCTATAATCCTAGCTGGAGGCTGAGATCAGAGAATCGAGGTTCAAATCCAGCCTGGGCAAGAAAGCCTTATGAGAGACTCTTAGCTCCAATAACTACCAGAAGTAGCCAGAAGTGAAACTGTGGCTCAAGAGGTAGAGTGCTAGGCTTGAGCAAAAAAGTTCAAAGATAATGTTTAGGTCCTGAGTTCAAGTTCCAGGACCTGCACAAAAAAATAAATAAAGAGAATTACCTTCTGAATTAAAGTTGTGTGAGCATCCTTGTCTTAAAAAACTAGTTTCCCTAGTGTTTGCTATATAATAGACATGAAATAAATGTTTATTAAGATGATATATATGTAAATACGAGGCTAACTAAATTTTCTTTTACTTTTTGCTTGTGTCTACAGCAGAGTATTTTTGTCCCCAAATCTTTGCACTGTCCTGTTTCCTGCACTCACTCAGAATTATGACAATAATAGTCACTTGTTTTGAAATTAGTGATTGCAAGTTGTCATATATGTATTTATATACTTTGAAAATTGAGAGTTGTTTTTTTCTTTATCTCAGGTTAAGTCTTTATGATCTATGGAGCTTAGTTACTTGAGGACTGATACAATGCTCTATTTCTAGTCTTTCTAATTCTTTTCTGTGGGTAGGTGATTTCACCTCCTCCCCTCACCAGGCAAACTTCCTGTGTTCTTATGCAGGAGGCGTTCCACGTGGCTAAAATGGCATTCAGACATTTCAAGATCCGGGTGAGGAAGTCACTGACGCCGTCTTACGTAGGGTCCAACGACTTTGAGACTGCTGTCTCCGAGTATATCATCTGTCACCTTGATCTATATGATTCCCAAAGCAGTGTTAATGTAAGTACTGGGTCTCTCGTTTAGGACTAGTTTGTGGCTGAATGACACGATAAATACTGATAATACAGGAACCCATCCTGATGGAAGAGTAGAAAGGAATGACAAAGAATTTACAGTATATAGCATGTCTTTATTTTTTTTTCTTGGACAGTTTATGGGAGAAAATGTTCTGGGCTTTGTGGTACTATTTAGAATTTTTTTTAAAAATTAAAAAGCTGGGTGCTGGTGGTTTATACCTGTAATCCTAGCTACTCAGGAAGATGGTGGTTCATAGCCAGCATGGACAGGAAAGATTGTGAGACTCTTATCTCAATTAAACTCTAGAAAACTGGAAGTGGCGCTGTGGCTCAAAGTGGTAGAGTGCTCAACTTGAGTATAAAAAGCTCGGGACAGTACCAGACCCTGAGTGCAAGCCTTACAACTAACAACAACAACAAAAACAACAAAAGTAAAAAAAGAAAACTGAAATAATAAAAAAGGAAAAATGAATGAAGAACAAAAGATTAGGAGATAGAATATCTTAGTCCTTAAGAGCAAGGGCTTTGGGAAATAAGTGTGGAGTTGAATCCTGACTCTCCTACTTGCTTATGTACATGCTTATGTTTTCATTTTTTAATCCTTAAATGGGAACAACAGTGATCATTATCCTGTACAGTTACGGAGGTATTCAGTGAAAGAAAGGTAATTTATTTAGCACAAGACTTGGTATGTAGTGAATATTCGATAAGAGAACCCTCTTTTAGTTATTACTATAGATTAGAAACAAGTCAAAGTTGTATGTTGGCACCTCATACACTTACAGTAGAAAGCTAAGGAGCTAATTGGATTTAAAATTTACAATTTCTTTAAATCTTAGCATCTCATTTATACTCTGTGAAACTTTTCCTTTTCCCCCTACTAGCAAGGAGAACATGCACTGTTCTTTTTTTTTTTTTTTTAAAGCTTATTTTACTCACAGGCCCTTTTCCTACTTCCCATTAGTCTAAACTCATGTCAGAATCCTCAGGATAGGTTGACAATCAATATGCTATCTCTTGTTTTTCAGGATGTGATCCGAGCCATGAATGTCAACCCTAAGATCTCCTTCCCTCCTGAAGTTGACTTTTGCCTCCTCAGTGACTTCATCCAGGAGATTTGCTGCATTGCTTTTGCAATGCAGTCTTTAGACCCACCTCTTGACATTGCATTCGGGGCTGATGGAGAAGTCTTTAATGATTGCAAGTAAGAGGCACGGGTAGAAGCTAAGGACTCTTTATTAATACATTGGCTTGTCTCTTTCCTGGGAATACTTAGGAGAAGGGATTCCAGCTGGGAAAATCAATAGTTATTACCTCCTTTGTAGGCTTTGCCATGGACTTCTCTGTATTTCAAGTAGGACTCCTTTCTGGGTTAATTCTCCACTAAGCATATGGGCTGTTGGAGAAGTTACCAAGTACCTGGAGCCTGTCTTGAGCACTGTAAGAGACAGATGTTTTATATATGCACGTGGCCAGACTAGATTTCTTGTGTAAAACACATGTTCCCTGTACCACATTCCTTGACATGAGGTTGATAATGGAGTTCAGCAAGCTGAGATCTCACAGTCACATCAGTGGGCTGTATGCAAACGGGTGTTTGAAAATGAATGCTCATAACTCTTGTCTATGACTACTGGATTTCTGACAGGTTTTACATAGTAAATATCCCCTTTATAAATTAGAAGAAATAAACTGAAAATGTTTATTGAGATTTAATGAGATCACAGTTTGATCTGGAAATTAATCCTGGAAGAGGCTGAGCTAGTGCTTAAGAACACCAAGTATCAATTATTAGTTGTGTAATCTTGGGCATCTCACTTCACTTATCTGCCCTGCAATTGAATATGGGCCTCACCTCAGGGATTTACTCTTGCTGTGCAGGTACCCTCCTGCTTGAGTCACATCTCCAGCCCTATTTTGCTATGATTATTTTTGAGGTGTAGGACCTTGTTTTTTGCCTGGACTGGAAACCTCTTGTTAAACTTCCAAACATAGTTGGGATGACTCAATTGTGTACTACTATGCCAACTTTTTCCATTGAGATATGGGGGTGTGGTGAACTTGTCTCTTCTCCTCCTCCCCTCCCCAGGATGACCTGGAAGTGTGATTGTCCAGATCTTAGCCTTCTGAATAACTGGGATTGTAGACACAAGCCACTAGTACCCAGACAGCACCCTTTTATTCTTCTTCTGCATTCCTTTGGCTAATTTGTATGGTTTGTTATTTTTTTTTGTGTGTGTTCAAACACTATTGAGTCCTTTTGAGTAAAACTGAAACTTACCTGTTTTGTTTTTTACTTTTGCTATGGTCAAACCATGTATTTTCTCTCTCTGGATTCAGTAGCAGGACCTTATATGTTTTCACACTTTCTTTTGACTTACTAGGTCCAACTTATCCTTCAGGCTGATTGAGCTATTCTATTTTTTCCTATCTCCACCCTTAACACTGAGTATATTTCATACATGTTATTGATAAGCGTATTGATTTACCATAAGATTGAGAGGGCCCTCAGCTCTCACCAGTCCATTTAATTACCCTTTTGGGGAGTATAATTATTGACCCTGTTTCCAGTTATGTTAACCATCCACCCGTTTTTTTCTTTTATTTTGTTCATAATGACAACATGAAAAATCTCATAAGAAGCCTTATAGAACTTCAAATTGTCTGTGATTCTAGCATTTTCCTGACTTGCCACCTTTTTAATCCTACTAAGAAAAGGAAAATGATTGGCTTAATAGGACATGCTAGTACCTAGCCATTCTATGCTGGGTTCAAGTCGGTACTGATTCCTGTGCTAAGAGCCCAAACCCATTTCTTTAATAATAGAATCAGAATCCATATTTATCTAGATCTAAGCATAATCAAAACCAAAACTTTATGCTGAGATTTCCCCCCTTGTGCTGTGTAACTGCCTAACTTCTGGCTTTGGATTTAGCTCAGTGGTTTAAGTGTTTGCTTAGTGTACCCAAGGCTTTGGGGTTGACCACTAGCAGCAGCAATAGCAAGATAATTGATTTCTCTTCCCTGTTGTTTTGTTTGTTTACAAAGGTACCGCCGAAGCTATGACTCAGATTTTGCTGCTCCCTTGGTCTTTTATCACGTCTGGCCTGCTCTCATGGAGAACGACTGTGTCATTATGAAGGGAGAAGCTGTCACCAGAAGAGGGGCTTTTGTACGGTGGCCTTGCATAGTGAAAATTCATCCCCAGTGTTTGCTTCACAAGTTCGAGAACATTTTTAAACCCAAAGATTCTATAAAAGGAGTTGATAAAGAATTGCTTGATAAAATTTCATACAAAGGAGAGGAAGGAGATGACCATGGAAATAATATCTTTTTGTTTCCCTCAAGATATCTTCAACATTTTCTAGCAACAGTTTCTTTGTTTGATCTATTTAGATGATAGAAATTACTCATATTTAATTCTTCAACTTAGATATATTTTGATATTTTCAAGCTAAACTCCTTTTATCTTGTTGGAGGCTTTCTATAATCCTATGTATTTAAAAGTGATTAATTAGTTTTTAGGAAATAGTTTGCCAGTTGTTTTCTTTATCAGTAATTTTCCATTTTAGTAGGTTAAACATGTGTCATTTTTCTCTCCTTGGTATGATGTATAAGGAGGGGGAGGGATGGAGTAAAAGGGTCAGGGAATGTAGGGTGAGAGGAGCCAATCAGTTTTTGATTCCTAGTACAAGGCTTTCCATATGCTGAACACTTGGAGCAGACTTCAAAATGGAGTCTGTGTGTGTGTGTATGTGTGTGTGTTCCTGGGGGTTGGGGTGGGAGGAATTGAGCGCTATGACTGCTTAGATATTCTGCACAGTTCATGTAATGTGTTGTTTACTTCTGCCTTTCGTAGAAAGTTAGGCAAATTCTAAAGTGAGGCCCTTTGGTCCAGAGCAAAGCCACCATCTTAATGGCTTGCTTCTTGTTTTCCTTGAACTGAACCATAGAGGAAGTGGTCATATCAGCAGACAGTACAGAGAGTAGTTTATTTTCATACAATTTAGTAATAAGGGTTTTTGTAGCTTAAAAATCCTATTACAGTAAATTCTGGCTGAATAAAACATTTTATACTATGAAAGTTGGTCTGACAACCATATATCGCCATGAAACATGTTTCTTGCCCCGACAATAGTTACTGTCTATTAAGAAACTTAGCTGCAGTACAGTTTGGAAAGGAAGGAGAGAAAAGAGCCACAGATTTTAAGCTCTATGTCAAATAGCTATTGCTTCTTAACTTCCTTCTCTTTCAAATATATTACCAACATTTGTTCAAACTTAAACCTTTAAAAAAAAAGAGTAAAAGGAAGAACTTAAGAAAGAGAGTTGAATGAAGGGAAATGTTCAAAGAAGTATTTTACCTATAAAATCTTAGTGAATAAAATTTTCTTTCTTGCTTTTTAAAGACAGCTTTATTGAAGTATCAATATACAATAAAAATACACATGTCACCCAGGCCCTGAGTTCAAGCCCCACTACTGACAACACACAGTAGCACATGTACATGATGTATGAAATTTGATGAATTTCACAAGCCCCACTGTGTTGTTTCATTCAATGATATTTATTTATTCTATAGATATTCATAACCCAAGCACTACACCTAGGTGCTAGAGGATTTAACAATGATGAAAACGCCACAAATCCTTACCTACATGGAGGCAAACTCACTTGCAAACTCAAATGTGATTTCTCACACACAAAACCTCGTAAAAATCCTAACACATCAAATATCTGAATATTTCCCAAATCTATTACAATGGGGTTTTGTTTAAAAGTGTTTGCCAGATGTTGGACAGCTGTAGGAAATGAAAGTGATGTTGATCATACTGGTGAGTAGACCTAGCAAAGTACAATGCTGTCAGTAAAGCCTCTTATTGGATGGAATATGCATGTTGTTTTAACCATAAAGACCATCACTCACTCCCATTTCTTTTTCTCGTTTTAGTGGAATTCGATGCGATCTGTAAGTCGTTGTCGAAGCAGGAGTTTAAGTCCCATCTACCCACGTAGCCACATTGGTTTAAGTACGGTACATATCTGTCCAATCATTTTTATTCCAAGCATCCTATGATGGAAAATTTTTATAGTCGCCTGTAAAAGAGGTGACTATAAAAAAGTAGAAAGAGACACTGTTGGAATAACATTAACCCTGAAATGATTTTTTTTATCATTATGGGCTAAGGAATTTAGGATGTTAAAAAAAAAAGAAATAGAGGTAGTTTTTAAAAACCTATTTAGTTAAAGGAGTAACATTTCTTTAACTTTGAATGGCATGGCTATTAAAGATCTGATAATCTTCTGAATAGAAAACTGGGTACCTTAGTCAACTGATTTGGGCTCAATTCCCAGTTTAATTGAGAAAGTACTGTAGAGTTTAGAGCAATTGCTAGAATTATCTACATTTTAATGCTCTGAAAAGGGATTAAAAGGGCATTAAATGTTCCGAACTTTGAAGTAGAAAAAATGAGTTTAGCATTAGTTATTAGGTGTTCAATCAAAAATAAAATAATAGCAAGAGCTTTCTGAAAAATATGGAGGTAACATCCCCCAAAACATCATTACAACTTACTCCTTCCTTTATTCAACAAATAATATGGAAATGGCCCTGTGGCTCAAGTGGTAGAGACCTTGCCTTGAGCTGACGAGCTCAGGGACAGTGCCCAGGCCCAGAGTACAAGTCCCATGACCAAAAAAAAAAAAAAAAAAAGCTAAAAACTAAATAACGTTAGGTCAAAGCCTTTTGAGTGTAAGTCTGGATAAAGACCCAAACACCAGCACAGGCTCAAATACACATTTCTTTGGATGGATGCCGTTTTCTGGAGGGACCTGAAAATGACCAAAAATGGTTATCTCCCCTCAATGGCTCTCCATGTAGGAAGGCTAGAGTTGGTAATTGATTTGGTTTGTTTTAGGAGTGGAATTTCACCAGGGGAAGAAAACAATGGAAGAATTTCTAGGGAAGTGGAAGAGTCATCCTTTTGCTTAATATCTATTTTCATAAATGTCTAAGTAGTTACACTATTAGGCAAAAGCCAAATGCTAATGCATTTAGTGGACTGATAAGGAAAAAAATCTTGGGAGCATGATAACTGGGGAGATTTAAAGATCTCCCTATTCTAAGAGTGCTGCTATCAGAGGTTTGAGTAAAATTAGGTACTTCCTGTGTTCTAACCATGGCACACTTTAGACTCTCATTGGAAGTCTTCACCAAAATGTCCTCTGTAGATAAACATTGACGAATATGTACTTCTTTCTCCCTGTTTCTTTTCCCATGCTAAGGGAGAACAAAGTCATTTAAGCTTGAGACAAAGAAATCTTATTTCTCAGTGGTGAAACTGCTGCCTAACTTCCCTTCTTTTTCCATTACCCTTCCCTTACAATGAAATTAGGTCTACCTGTCAAACAGAATTCAAATACTTTCAGTTAGTCTGCTTTTTTGTCTTATTTAAGTCTTGATTCAGTAACAGATTCCATCTTCATTAGCATGTATTTATATAAGGCCTTTGAAGCTCAGAGCAAAAATGATGCTGGTAGTCAATGTCATACAATTTACAATTTAGTCTTTTTAGATTAATGAAAGTGAAGTTAAGATTTGAAAAATGATTCTTTTCTGGCTGCTTGGTAACCTTCCTTATATAGGAGAAAATTTTGGACATATGAGAGATAACTTTTCTAAAGGATCTTTCAGTGCATCACCATTTTAGCTTTTGTTAGTTAATTGCAATAATAATAATTGTGGAAATCAGTAAATTCAATATGGTTGCTTTTAAGCCATTGAACCCAGCATCTAATTAACAATGTAGTTTAAACTAACATTATCTAGTTACTAACATAATCTAAATCAAAAGCAGTACCCATTTAAAAAGAAAGCATAAAAGGAAATCACAGTGGTCAGCCTTAAAGGGAAAAATCATAATTATAAAGTACTTCAGAGCAACGAATTGGTTAGTTTTATGGAAAGGATATGTCTAAAGCATTCATTTGTTGAGCTCCATTCACCGTGTAGTTCACATTACACTCTTATGTCTTCCAGATGTCTCGAAGCCGGAGTCCTTCTCCAGTAAGATGTTTGTTGCCAAGTAAGTGAGATCATAAAGATGGATCATAAAGATACTATTTTATACTCTTTCAAGTGCTTAGCATTTTGCAGCAAGATGAATGTTTGGCTTCCTAGGGAATATCTTTTCTTCTACCCCCATCATTCATTTCTGGGCTCTCTCATGGATGGAACCCATAGGAATCCTGTGGGTTATGTTGGGAGGTTTAATTGCTACAAACAGACTGAGTACCCATTTTCCATATAGGTACTTGCATAAAAAAATCGAGACAAGTGACCATCAGTAATGGCCTCTATATTTTTTTTCTCCCTAGGATTTTAAAGCCACCAGACATGTTCCTTCGCCACACTCCAGGGTAACAGCCAAGTTCTCCAGTGCCTCCATCTGCCTGCCTGCCTTGTCTGCCTCTGACCTCACTTAACATGATATGAAAAGGCAATTCCGTGTATCACTCCACACAGAGAGTTAAACGTTTTGTCTTAGCGCATTTGTAACTTTAGGTACATTGCATTTGATTTATACTTTCTAGGTACAAATTCCATTAATTTCATAAAAACGATTGTATAGGCATTTAGGATCATATTCATTCGAAGCAAAGTCCATTACATAGATTCAGGATTTCCATTCTGAAATATGGGGCTCTTTTATAGCAACCCTGTGGACAAAAGTAGAAATTCTGCTTATCGTGCTAAATCTAAAAGGAAGGCTAAGTCACTCAGTTTACCAATTATAAATGCTACAATTGCTTATATCAACTTTTAACCTGAAACCAAAATTGGTTGTTTAAATTGGCTTTTAATGCTTAGAAGTTAGTGCTAGTCTCAGGTTGGAGAACTTAGAGCAGTAGTAGCAGTGATTTAGAGTTAAATGTAGAAGATAATAACATATAACATAATTTTAATTGGTTTGCTTATTCTTACTTGGAGAGTGTCTCATTTGGATTCCTGGAGAACCACATGTCAAAGTCAACTTTCAGATGAATGATTTGATTGAGGCCAACTTGAGATAAATATTAATTACTCTGTGTTTATCTCCTAGGAATTTTCTATTTTAATGCATGTGTTAAATATAAATATAAAGTTACCAGGGAGCTGTCCTTTATCAGCTTCACCTAGTTGTTTGCAAGTTCAGACCTCCTTGAACTCCATTCAAGGCCCCAAACTAAGGTGTCATTTATTTATTTATTTTTTTGGGGGTCCGGTCGTGGGGCCTGAGTTCTGGGCCTGGGCGCTATCCTTCAGCTCTTCAGCTCAAGGCTAGCGCTCTACCACTTGAGCCACAGTGCCACTTCCGGCTTTTTTCTTTTTGCTTATGTGGTGCTGAGAAATCGAACCCAGGGCCTCAGGCATGCAAGGCAAGTGCTCTACCACTGAGCCACCTTCCCAGCCCTAAGGCGGCATTTATTGACTGCGAACTGAGTTTCTTCCTTAACTTCTTCATTAGGAAGTACTCTTGAGAGTTCAAGGTCAAGATAAAAATGTTTTTGATATTGCCTTGGGATAAGTAATGTTCTTCCTGCTTTTAAAAAAAATATTCAAGCCAGCCTTACATGAGCTTCTCCGTGACCACTTTTCCATACATCACTAGGTCATGCGGAGGTAAGAGTTTCTTCCTCTTTGTGTTTTGTTATTTCTTTGAGGCCAGGTAATGTTCATTGAAAGGAGCTCAGTAGCTCCTAGACATCTTTAGTCATTGACTCACTTTGTGGCCTTGAACAAGTTACTTCATCTCTCTGAACCTTTATCATTGTAGTGAGTATGTGAGTATTACTACCAGACTCAATACATCCATTAAAAAAAGATAGAAAAGTGTAGGAAAGAAATATGTCAGAGACTACTATCAACTTTTTATAACAACTATACAACTATTTTTCTTGCATATCTTGAAAGGAAAGCAGAAATAGATATGAAATACATACATACACATACACATATATATATATACATGTAATTTTAACCCACATACACTAACTACCAAGTAAAGCAGAAGAAAAGGAAAGCATTTTAGTAACAATAAAATATATTTCAATAAAAACCATTGGTATAGCCATTACAGAAGATAAAATGAAGGCATCAGATGACTAATTTTATGCAGTTCTTGCATGTAACATCACTAGCTACAACTACAGGTCAGTGTTTGATATATTGATGGCATAAGATCACATCTTGTCACTGGAAATGACTTTCTGAAATACTAAACAACTCTTGGTAATGTTGTACACAACTCCCTGCCCCAAGTCTTGCCTTGATTTACACAACAATTGCATTCCTGGACAACTCAGTGAACATGAAAACCATGCAATAGTTACTTTGTGCTATATATTACAAGACTTTTCTAAAATCTTACGTACTAACGAAAGCCTATATAGTAATATAATCTGATTTGGAAAATGGTCACATATAGCTCACTTGAGTGCTCTCAGTCCTTAGCTGGCCCCTTGCCATTTCTCAAGTTTCTGTTTTGAACTGTAACTACACAAGGCAAGCAGGAATAAATTTTGGAAAGACTACCTGAAACTCAAGACTGCTGGCTTGTACTCATTTTGCCTTAGAAACTTTGAAAAGTGAAACATTCTTATTTCGTACCCTGAGTTAGTTTCTGTATTAATAGTTTATTCTCTAACAATAAAATCAAGACAAGGTGCTTTGTACTGTAAATTCTTTTCAATGAAATCCTCTTTAGATGATCAGGCTCATTGATGCCCTTCACCCAGTATAATCTATGAACACATAGCCCCCAGTGAATACTGAATACATCTGTTCTTGTCCTGGGACTCCTGCAGTTCCATCATGTAGCTTAATTGCTGGCTTTGTGTTATTTTACCCATAGCTCCACTTGTCATATTCAAGCTGTTCTCTGTGACTAGTATGTAATCATTGCTGTAGAATTTTTACTTGCATTATTTCAGCCGCTCCCTATAATAATGAGGTAAGTCTTCAACCCCACAATCTTATTCCAAGCTTTTCTTACTTCAGAATAAGACAGTCCTGTTTTCTTTTGTTCATCCACATGGCATATGACATCAATACTTTGTTTGCTGTTTTGTTCATTTAACCCAAATACTTTCTGAATATCTCTGTGTATACATTGCTAAGGACATGGGTTGGGTGGGCAAATGGGCTGGGTTTCGTGTAGTTTGTGACATATCTAGTTGTATTCCTTGGTGATTTCCTGTCAAGGTAATCATAAAATGGAGTTGAGTCCATTTTTATTTCAGAGAAGATGTTACATATTAATAAAAGGATTTGAAAACATTAATTTAGCATCTATCTACTTAAACCTATGAAGGGGGAAAGTAAGATAGTAAAATACACAAGGCATGTAACTCAATTACATCACCCATAGGTGAATTACTCAAGCCTTTTAACAAATATCCATTGAGTTTATAATCCTAACAAGATGAATAATAAAATGAGCATGAGAGGGTAAGGAAGACCATTTCTAACACCACCAGAACCATATAGCTATGTGCTCTGCTCACAGTCCATTCTAATTTGCTTCTAGAAACCCGACAAGTCTGTCTGCATGAGTATAGAAACTAGGATTACAAACTGTATTAGGTAATTGAAATATGAGCCTAGGAACCATATGGATAAGTGACATTTAGTATATGTCATTAAAATACCAGAGCAGTGAAGTGTGTTGGCCTTCATACAGTGAATGAGCAGGGCCCTTGAAAATCAGAGCACTCAGTCTCTTATTTCAAAATGAAATACAATGGGAAAACGTCACCTATAACAAGTTGGCCACCAGGGGTCAGTGTGAACATTATAATTTCTATAGTTCACCCACACTCATCCATCTGAACTGAATAGCTATTTCTGCCTTCTACTAGCTGGGTCATGTGATAAGCATGTTATAGGTTTTATTTCAATATAGTTAAGACATTTAAATACATTTAGTGTTTCAAATGGAATAATCTATTGAAATGTGAAGTAAAATAGGCTAGGAAAGTTAATATAGTAATTGGATAGTGTTTATAGAAGTTTTTGAGTATAATTTTATGAATCAGACCTTTTAGAAATTGACTTACAGTGTTGAGATGTTGGAGATGGGGCATTATACTCCTACTACTTTTTTATTAACATATAGTAATTGTGCAACGGAGTTTCATTATATTTTCACATATGCATTCCCTCTATTATTTTTTCCTCTTGCTTTTATCTTAGACTAGGGTACATCAGAGCCCTATTTTAAAGAAATAGACTTCAGGAGTGCTCCAACCCTATGGGTCACAGCATGAAATCATTAGTTTATTCATGAAGACATTTATTGCTGTTGTGTTACATATGTTACAGGCACTGTATCAGGCCCCCAGGATACAAGACTTTCACTTTTGGAAAGAAAGCTTTCAGCACTCGTTGGCAATGTGTACCAATGGGACCACTCTGTGGTCTCTCTGGGAGATAGGAAAGAGACTCTTACTGACCTTTCTTTTGGGAGGGGGGCTGATAAATACTATTCAGTCCATAATGTTGGCAGAGGGTATAATCTTTTTCTGTACTGCCTCTTGGACTTAACACCATGTAATAATTCACTCAGAACTGCAGGCAGGGATTTTTCTGGCTCCATGTAACGCACGGTGAGAATGGATCTGAACAGACAGATGTCACTAAGTAATAGGCCAAAGGTCTTTGCACTCATCTTCACAAATAGGTCTCTCAGTTCTCTGCCCCATTAGCACATGTGACTTTCTGAGGAGGTGCGGTAGAGCATTTGACACGCTTGCTCTACCCTGGAGCCTTTGGTTTATGGAGCACTTGCAGAGGCACTTTTCCCAAAAGCCTAGCTAGGGATCTGCTTCCTTCAAATGTAGTTCTGAAGAGTGAAAGCGGCAGACCATTTGAAGTTATCTTTTATCAACTTTTATAGCCAGTGCAGGAAGAATCTTGACTCTGCCATCTGATAAACAGACTTTTCACCCAAGAAGTGAGTGACCTGGTTATGGCTTCAGCCTACTTCAAATTAACTCTCATTGTGAGGCCTTGAGGATGGAAACTTAATCCTACTATGGTATCTAGAGATAGGATCTTTGGGAGATGATTAGGATTAGATGAGATCATTTAGGTCCCGCTCTCATGATGGCCTCCTCCTGACAGCCTTACAGAAGAAACCAGAAGACACACACACACACACACACACACACACACACACACACACGCACGCATATTGGCTCCTTTTGTCACATGATGTTCTGTGTATCTAGGGATTCTGACAAGGAGAAGGCTATTACTAGATATAGCCCTGAAACAAGCCAAAATAAACCTCTTTATAAAGTAGCCCGACTCCAGTATTTCATTATAGTAGTTAAAAGGAGACTAATACTATTAATTACTAAATAAAAGGACAAAGCTAGATCTTCTGTTTATTATTCTTCTTTTTTTTTTTGGGTCCGGTCGTGGGGCCTGAACTCTGGGCCTGGGCGCTGTCCCTCAGCTCTTCAGCTCAAGGCTAGCGCTCTACCACTTGAGCCACAGCGCCACTTCCGGCTTTTTTCTTTTTATGTGATGCTGAGTAATCAAACCCAGGGCCTCAGGCATGCAAGGCAAGCGCTCTACCACTGAGCCACCTTCCCAGCTCCTCCTGTTTATTCTTACACTTAAAAAATTTATTTATTTTGTTTTTTAAGAATATATTTGTTTTATTTTTTATTGTGAAAATACCATATAGAGGGGTTACAATTACATGAGCAAGGTAATGAGTACATTTCTTATCAAGCATTGTTGCCTCTTATAGAATATGATTTTGTTTCTCATTTCTTATCAAGCATTGTTGCCTCCTCTTTGTTTCCCCTTACCATCCCTTCCCATACTCTCCCCACATCCCCCTACCCAGTCCCCCCCCCACCAAAGTTGTAAAGTTGTTATTCTTGACTTTTATGTGGTGTTTTCCTTTTGTCTATTTTATACCCTTTGCATCAATAGTACCATAAAATTTACTTTTTTCTTGCTTTTTCTTTTTCTTTTTTTTTGCTGATCCTGGGGCTTGAACTCAAGGCTTGGGCACTGTCCGTGAGTCTCTCTGTGCTCAAGGTTAATGCTCTACCACTTGTGCCCTAGGGAATTTATTGGACATAAGAGTCTCACAGACTTACTTGCTTGGGCTTGCTTTGAACAGCAATCCTCAGATCTCAGCCTCCTGAGTAGAGAGGATTATAGGGGTGAGCCACTAGTGCCCAGC